GGGTTCAATCTCCGTTGCCCTTGTCTGACTGGCTTTGCATCATCCTCAAGCCGGATCCGATGCATGCATAAGGAGGGGCTAATACCTTTGATGTCTGCTACACTCCACCCAATCGCCTCCTTATGATCCCGAAGGAGACGAATTAGTCTGTCTTCTTGCCCTGGTGACAGGTGTGCAGATATGATGACCGGCAGTGTCTCATTGTCCCCGAGAAAAGCATACTTCAAATGCTTTGGGAGAGGTTTGAGCTCCAACTCAGGTGCCTGCACAATAGAAGGCAACAATTTTGCTTGAGTTTCTGGTACAAAAACAGAAGTAAGCTCATACCTTGGGGAAATTGGTGGGAGCGAATGCAGTGCTCCAACAGCGTGGTATAGCTCATCATTTATTTCTACATCAAGAGTTGCTCCCAACTCAAGATGTTTGGCCAATGCCACTGCCAGTGCATCAACCCCATCCAATTCAAATATTTCCTGTACAAGGGGCTCAACAACACTTAAAGCATAAACAGAGTTAGTCTCATCTGGGTACTTCATCGCCTCAAAAATATTAAAATTTACAATTTCCCCATCAAACTCCATCGACAAAGTACCCTCATTTACATCTATTTTCGTCCTAGCAGTGCTTAAAAATGGTCTACCCAATAAAATAGGAGATGGATTTAGTGCCCTTTCATCCCCCATGTCTAGGACATAGAAATCTGCAGGAAAAACTAACTCATTGACCTGTACCAAAACATCTTCAACTAACCCCTCTGGGTAAGCATTGGTACGGTCTGCAAGTTGGATTATAATGCCTGTGCCTTTTAACGGGCCAAGATTTAGAGAAGTATAAATTGTCTTAGGCATAACATTAATTGACGCCCCTAAATCCAACATTGCTTTCCTAATTGGAGTACCTCCTATCTTGCAGGGAATGGTGAACATACCTGGGTCTCCACATTTTGGTGGGAGCTTTCTCTGGAGTATAGCTGACACGTTTTCTCCCACCGCCACTCGTTCATCTCCCCTTAACTTCCTCTTGTGGGTGCACAAGTCCTTCAAAAATTTAGCATACTTTGGTATCTGCTTGATTGCATCCAACAGGGGAATGTTGATCTCCACTTTTCGAAACACATCCAAGAGCTCTTTTTCCTTCTCTATCTTTTTTGTCTTTTCCAACCTGCACGGAAAAGGGGGTAAGTTAGAGCTAATAGCGAGTGGAGAGGCGGAGGTTACCTTAGGATCCTCACGAATGCGTCCTTCCTTCTCAATTTCCCTTTCTATCTCCTCCTCGCTTTTGCTTTTCGAATTTTTCACTTTAGCCCCTTCCAACTCCTTACCACTCCTCAGTGTCATGGCGCTTACATTCTTGGGATTTTCCTGGGGCTGCGATGGCAGTTTCCCATAAACGTGGGATTCCAAGCGGTTGATGGCAGTTGCCAGTTGACTTATTCGAACATCTTGGTCCTTCTTGTCAGCTTTGGTGCCCTGCTGGAGCTGCTCGGTTTTCACGGCCAATGATCTGATCTCCTCTTGAAGCTGTGTAGTAGTCGTGACCAGGTTAGTAGTAGTCGTGGCCAGGTTCTTGACTAGATCCTCCAAGGAGCTCCCTGAATTGGAGGATGAGGGTTGAGATTTTGGTTGCCAAGACTGGTGGAATCCTGGTGGACGATTTGGGAATGAACCTTGTTGCCTGTTTCCATAACTGAGATTGGGATGGTCTCTCCAACCGGGGTTGTATGTGTTGGAATACGGGTCATACTGCCTGCGGGGCGCGGGCACGCCTCCGGCCATATTTACCTGTTCCGTCCCATCCTCTTGCAGAATGGGGCACGAATCCGTGCAGTGGTCCATGCTAGTACAGATTCCACACACCTTTGCTCGGGGTGTGTCTCTCATGGCCAATTGCCTGACAGCAGACGTCAACTCTGACAGTTGCTGCTGGATGGATGACGTCTCTGCTTCATTGACTCTACGGGTAAGAGTGTTCTCACGGAAGCCGAACTGCTGAGAGTTTTCTGCCATGGCTTCAATAAGGTCCCATGCTTCCCTCGGTGTCTTGTTCGCCAGGGCTCCTCCACTCGCAGCGTCAATAATACCCCTGTCAGTTGACTGGAGCCCTTCATAGAAGTACTGGATCAACAGTTGTTCGCTAATCTGATGCTGTGGGCATCCTTTGCACAACTTGTTGAACCTTTCCCAATAATCGTACAATGATTCCCCGGAGCACTGCTTGATACTGCATATTTCCTTTCTCAGACTCGCAACCCGGGATGCGGGGAAAAATTTTTCCAGAAATTTCTTTTTCAACTGTGCCCACGTGGTGATACTACCTGCAGGTAGGTAGTATAGCCAATCCTTCGCTGCATCCTTGAGAGAGAAAGGGAAAGCCCTGAGTCGTATTTGCTCTTCGGTGACCGCAGGGGGTTTCATGCTAGAGCAAACCACTTCGAATTCCTTGATATGTTTGTGGGGTTCCTCACCAGAAAGGCCATGGAACGAAGGTAGGAGTTGAATCAACCCCGATTTCAACTCGAATGAGGTATTCTCAGCCAGAGTTGGGAACGTGATGCACAAGGGCTGATGAGTCAGTTCTGGGGTAGCCAGCTCCCGTAATGTCTGGGTGTTGGCCATGCTCAATTCGTCTTCTATTGACTCGTTTTCAGAAAATGAGAACCCTTCTTTTTGTCTCTTGGTCTCTTGCCTTCGCCTACGTGCTGCCTTCTCAACCTCAGGATCGTATACCAAGTTACCTGTGCGAGAAGAACGGGGCATAAACTAGCAAAAGTACCAAGAAAAAGAAAAATATAATAAAACAAAATAAAAACTAAATTAAAAAAGAAACAAATAATTCAGACGCCAGTCCCCGGCAACGGCGCCAAAAATTGACAGGTGCCGAACCTGTGCAATAATAATAAATTAATCCTAACTACCACCTGAAACAGCTAGTAATCAATTCGAGTACTGGAGCAGGGACTCTAGGTGTGCAATGGGTTACTTGATTCACCCTGTTCCCGAAGAGTTTGCTTAATCCGATATACCTGAATAAATTATTTAACTGAACTCCCTAACTAGTAGACAGTGGTAAGCAGGGTCGTCTCCTCAGGGACTGGAGAGATATTTGTTCCTTTTCAAATCAAGATTAATGGGGGGGGGTTTTGGTATCAAGAGCCAACTGAACAAATTAAATGCAGAAAATAATTAATTAAAAGAAATAACTAAGAGAAACTCTAGCCAAGGGTATACTTCAGAAATGGTTCATGCACTGATCATTGATGCAAAAATAATTCCAACCTTTATTAATAGATTGGTTCTAGTTGTCTCGCACGCGCTAAACAACCAACCCTTCCTTAATTTATCGATAGCCAAGGTACGACCGTTAGCTATTTCTCTAACCCAAAAACAACCCTAGGTACGACCGTAGGATTCAATTTCTAGATTGTATTAGTAATTAGAAAGGCCCAATCCTGACTAACAAACACGCTACGAGGGTTCATTCAAGCCAGATCAAATATTCCCCTGACACAAATCCAATTGTGCCAGTTGCTACTGAGATAAAGATAACGAACAATTACGGATTCAATTACCCCTATATAGCAAAATAGCCTATATAAACAATTAATTATTGCGCACTAATCAATCATATATAAGGCTATAACAAGTAGAAACCGGAAATATATAAATATTAATAAATGGAGGGAATAGTTAAAATAAATTCGATCTCACAGTAATTGCTGAACCAAATCGTCAGTAGTTCCCTTGACTAGAATTAGGGGTTTAGTTCCCCATTACTGAACAGGCCGCGTGTACAGGGTTGGAAGAAGCCATCGATTCCTTAATCACAGCAAACGGAAGACTTGACCTTCGTTCACTTCGGTCAACCGAAGAGAGAAAAGGGCGACAATGGATTACGATTGCTTCAATTTCCTTCGGTCAAAGCCAGAATGAAAAGCAATGACCAAAGTCCACGATTGCGGCTCACTTTTACTTTCTCTCTTCTCTCACGCAAGAAACATACGAGAGATTGGAAGATTGCAATTGTTTTTCACTTCTCAATTTGGTCAAAAAAACCATCAATAGTTCATAGAATCCCCAAAGTCAACAAAAGTGGCTGTTCCTTTCTCCCTACACAGCTGCGGCTGTTTTTGTCTCAATCCAGAGCCAAAGAAAAACCAAAACAAAGAGGGAAAAAAAAACCGTCTAACCTAAGCTGCGCGAGCGAGATAAATAATATCCCCGAATAGCCAAAAATTGTTACTTTCTTCCAAAAATTGCAGCCAGACTCCTTAGAAATATATTAAAATAAAATCTATTACAATTAGGTTTCTTCAGCTTCTCAAACGGGCCCCACGTCCGATGACTCTTCTAAAAGTTGAATTTAAGCACTCTTCAGCAACCATTCCTGCAATTAGCATCAAAACAAAATATCAGTAGAATCCACCCAAATAGTGAAAATATTTAATCAATTAGTTGTGCAATAATGCCCAAAATACCCACTAAAATACAACCTATCAAAGTTCATAGTTCAAATTTGCTGCAACTGATTAAAATGTTATCATGCTAATAAGTGTAGTATAAGCTATCAATTATCATCATTCCTCTACTACATATTCCAATTGTAGTGTCTAGACTTGCACTTAAGTAGTGGTAGCTGGGGCTATCTTCTTGGTGTCATTGTAGTTACTTGATGGTTCATGAAGATATGCATTCTCAATATTCAGCTAAACTCGCTTGAAACAGAAAAAAGAATAAGGATAAAGGTAGATGGATCTTTTTGCTTGTAATGTTCTTGGTGGAACCGAAACATTGAAAGTTTTCCATGCTTTGTCTTGGCTCCCAATGAACACTGATGTGTTCCACGGTTACAAATTACCCGCCTTCAGGAGTATCTTTGATATTATGGCTTGTTCCTTCAGAAATTCTGCAACCTTGTACATTTGACACTGACAGCAAGTGTGGTATCTGATGCGGTATATGACCTTAATCTCAGGTATTCATTCACTGAAAAAAAATAACCACTCTGTATTTACAAGGCACAAAATGAGAGGCAATGCTCAGCAATCAAGAAAAAGGCAACTTCTACGTTTGCCGCACAATGGAAAAGTTAAAATTTTTAAAGAGAGTCGCGTTCAAAGGATGCTATATCCATCATCTTCGCTCGTTCCAATGAAACACACGATTGCTAGAACAAATGTGAAAAAGGATGAGAGCTCCATTGCCATTGCTCCCCAGCCAATTACTCCAGCATGCTTTAAGATGATTGGTATCGCTATGCTACCAACAGCCGACGCCCCAGTTAAGAATTTGGTCACATCTGCCCAGCTGTTGCCACATTGTTCATGAAAACCAAATAAGGCCAAAAAATCCATATAAATAAACTTGAATAAAAGCATCTCATCAGAGAATCAGTGCGGAAGGGAAAAAAAAAAACCTTACCCACTTTGAGATTCGGAGAAGAGAGATGAAGTATCCGAGCCAGCCAAAAAAATTAAGGGCATAGGTAGAACCACATACATTATTACTGCAAGCAGACAATGCAATCGTATAATCGTCAGACACTAACGAAAGTTTTTGTACCATTTTGAGAAGGCATTGATGCAACAAAATTAACTAATTCTGAACTACAAAGGGCCTCTTGGATAGTTTGCAGAGCAGTGCAGATACTCATCTTTTGAGCAAGTTGCACGAAACTAGATTCCTATTTTATCAAAATGGCAGGAAAATTCCAAGATATCACAGTCATATGCAGAAGCCAATTATCAAGAATAGGTAATCGACATCGTGCCAAATATCCCACATTCTTGTACCTGTTAGCATTGGCCACCAATTGTTGTACAAAGCACATGCCTGCAACAAAAATTCAAAGCGATGACCATGAAATGAAGGCCACAAGGCACCTTGCAGCTTCCTTATCATAGAACACGTAATAGGTATAATTATATAACTAACGCTGCAATCAACAGTAAACTTACCAATATCTGCAATACAATCCCCGTTAAAAAAAAAAGAAACTTAAATTTTCCCTATGCAGTTAAAAAAGATAGCTGCAAAGATGATATAAATGAGGCATTAAATTAATTGACAAAGTGAAGGGCTTAGAAATAAGCCACGTCATGATTGAGTGGTACAGCTATTCCAACAAATTTGTAATCCTTAATTGTAAAGAAAATTGATTATTTTTAATTTACTCCTTACCATTTTCTGCAATTCCTTTTTTTTTTGTTGCTAAATTTGCATGCTGTTCATAGCCCTCTTAAATCAATACAGTTCACATTTCTTTGATATTACAAATACTAATTGGTCAGCAGAAATTAGTTCCATAGAGTTCGTTTTTCATTTCTTCGTCAATGAAATCAATAATGTCCTTCCCCTCGTAAAGAACCCAAAGCCTTTTTTTTTTTTTTTGTCACTTGTTATCATCTACATTTACATCTACTTCTAGTCCTAATCTAATCTATACTAGGGGAGGTAACCCAACAGGATCACAGGGAATCGATGAGAACTAAACTACCATCACACTGTACACCCACATAAATCTTAAGCATAACCACATTAGGTGACCACTTTTGATAGGAGGTAAAGATTGAACATTTAAACTCCCACCCCACACTAAAAGTGGTGGTGAATTCCCTAGTTGGTTTAAAGAACCAACAGTCCAACGATGCTCCTTTTTATCTTTATCCGACCAAGGGGCCCACGGTTGAAAGAAGGTTCCGAAGACATGTGCACAGTCTTCTTAATAGCTTCCATGATTTTATATCGTGGGAGGTAAGGCAGCTTCGTCCCACCCCCTCCCCATCCCTTCCTGCTTTCTCAAGAGGCTAATAAAAATATATTATATAATTTTATTATAATTAAATATATTTCCAATTTTGGCCGCTCTCCTGTACCTTTGATAGAATAATTCAGAAACCGGAACTGACCTCGTGAGTCATGAGGTCTTCCATTTTTTTTTCTGCCCCTTTAAGGTCTCCTTTTGAGTTTTGAATACTTGTAGTACCATATAAATAACAAATTGGTGTACAATACTCTATCCTACTCAAAAAATGGCAGGAAAATCACGATATATCTAAATTACTTATTATTTAGAGAGATGGTGTGATAAAAAGCAGGGATGGTGAAAGAAAGAAAAATCAGGTAATAATAGAAAAAAGCGAAACACAAGATTATAACACATACGCCGTGATATATCTTGTTTAGTATTGTAGATCATTATTGTTAGTATTAATGTATGTGATTTGAACTTTGCCCTCATATAACCGTAGGTAAATGGTTAGAGGTGTGCTGATTTAACGAGATCACTTTTTCTACATAATAAATAAACTAATGCTCATTCCAATCATGTGCGTTCACACTAACAATCATATTGCAAATGACTGGCAGAGTACAGCATTTTACTATCGCAACTGGAATGAGCTGGCTCCAACTCATGATTGGCATCTTTGCATTATTTTGAAGCCTGGAACCCCCACAATTGCATCGGCAGAGTCTTACCCAACTCCACCACTTGCAGATTCCCGTCTATAAAATATGGTGTATTATTGCACTGATTGGCGTCCTCGTAAGTTCAGGGCATCTTGTGATTAATTTACTGATCTCCTTCATTTCATTTTGGTTTCTAGCTCCTTTGTCCTAAACTCGAGCTCGACTCGACCTATATGTAACTAGATTCGAGCTCGGCTCGAGCTCGATCGAGCCTAAAAATCGCAACTCGAAGCTTGATTCAAGAAAATTCTTTTAAACTCGAGACTCAACTCGATAAGGCTCGATCAAAGGTCAAGCCGTATCAAGTCAAGTCTAAAAAAACTTTTTGACTCGATTCGGAAAATGTATACTTGTAAATTCAGTATAAATTATACCCATAACAGTCATTAGGTAATTATAATACATATATATTATTTAAATTATATATATTAATTAAATATATCCGGCTCGAAGCCGCAAATTCCTGACTCGAAAGTATATTCGAGTAGCTCGAGACTTGGCTCGAACTCGATTTGATCAAGTTCAAACCAAGTCGTTGACCGGACTACTTGCGAGATAGTGGTTCGACTCGCTTACATCCCTGACCAACGTGGTGTACCTTGTTAATTACAAATATTTATATCTATACTATAGTTACCTTCAACATGGTGCACATTGATGACAGCTTTTCTACCTACCACCATTGACTTTTATTGGTCAATATAGTGTACCTTGTTAATTACAAAGATTCGTCAATATCCGTATCTATATCTTTGCTAAAAGAGTGAGTTTGTATTGATGGTTGAGCGTGCGAGTTATTTCTTTTCAAGATTAACCTTCTTACAAAATAATTAGGACTACGTCAGACCCTAAATTTGAATGCACTTTCTAATATATCATTGAGGGTATTCATGTATTGTCATAATCAAGGTCTCATATTCAAAACAGAAGTTTTATTGCATCAAAATTTCTTTTGAATTATGAAATAGAATTAGATTTCAAATGAATCATGTTAATGTAATTTCTAACAATACAATTAGCTTTGGAATGAAACACGTTAGTGTAATTTCGTTCTTAACTTTATCACATGGCTTTAACAATTCGTTTATAATAAGTTACCATATAAAAATGACAAACATCAAGAGAACTTTATAATATCGATAGTGTCTCTCTATCTCTTTTTTTTATGTTATTTCTAGGAACCAACGGCACTATTAGTCACTAGGAAAATTTTTTGACTTTGTTTCTTCTTTTGTTTCACTTACAATAGCTCGAATAATGCACCTTATCACATTTGAATCCAAATTATGACTGTACAATTGTTAATTATGGCTTTGAACTAGGATTGGAAAAAAAATTGTACTACTACTACTTTTTTAGCCTGTGACTCTTTAAACTCAGGAATAACCAATCCAACTATATGTTTCAAATTTCTCTTTTCGTATCCCTACATAAAAATCTTCTTTACAAGGATACATTCTCGCTTCCTATAGTCAATCTTTATTTAGTCCTTGCAGATATGTAGCAAGATTTTCCCACAAATTAATTATGCCTGCAAAAGGACAGATTACATACTCCCATTTGGTTCCATATTTTTTTTTTTAACATTACAAGGAACTAAAAGACTAATTAGACATGATAAGATGGTGGTGATGGGATTTGGCTCAGTAGTTAAAGGTTACCTCAATTGTCTTATGCTGAGCATTTAATTTTATCCATCTCCAATATTTTCATTCCCACTTCTTTCTTCACATCCAACCTTGTTCAGGCCCTGCGTGAATGGTCCAGCGGTAGCGCCTCTCACAGGTGACCCTTAAGGTCCCGAGTTTGAGTCTCCGCTCTGCTAGATTCCTCCGCGCGCTTATCGCGTTCGGATTGGGTTGGGGCACCGGGCCCAGGTTGCAGGGGATTAGTCGGGCTCCATAAGGATTGACCCGGACACCTCTGTGTTGAAAAAAAAAAACCTTGTTCAGAAAGTCAGGAAAAAAAAAGAAAAAAGAAAATCTTTACTTGATATATCAATTAAGTTTTTAAAATTAGAAAACATGTGCTGAGAGAGGTATAGTTGAAACATCATCGGTCACAGCATATTCAACTTTTTATCAGCACATCGTGAGAGTGGAAGGATAGGCCAACCACCTACTGTTCATAGACTAATAAAATTAAGATTATATGCACAAAATCAGTGGTTCAAATTAAAAAAAAAAATCACGTATACTCATGAAAGAATATGAAAATGGACATTTAATGTTTGTTTTTATAACCCATCTTTTTGATTGAATTTGTACGCTTCATAGGAAATATTACACACGAATTTTAACAATATATACTTCGTGTGAACTTTTACTATGAATTTTAAAATATGTATAACTATGTTTATATAACTGAGTTCCCTCCCCCAACTTGGGGTTTTGCCAAAAGAAAAACTGAATATAATCAAAAGGGGGGAAAAAAAAAAGAAATGATATGTGGTTTTTTTTTTTTTTTTTTTTTGTAAAATTTGATTAGGATTGAGTTCACATTCACAGGATTAAAAGAAAGGGTATACAACATATTTGAGATAAGAGATTTTGGAAAAGTTTGTTGACCTATGGTGCACTTTTCCCTCTACAAAATCGTATTTGAGAATACTATTGTGCAATGTTGGTCATAGGACGAAAATAAATCACTACAGCTGTTTATTTCTATTTCAAACTTTAGATTTCTATTTTGATAGTAGAAAAGGGTAATTAACATTATATATATAAAAAAAAAGCATAATGTGTATGTATAGACTTTTAAACGTGCCGAATAATAAGTAATGCATTGAACACTATATATTTAGATAGTTCTCTTGTAATTCTAGACCTACTTCTTATTGAATGAATAAAGTCATTTATTTCCTATTTCTAGAAAATGGGGTTTTGGCTCTCACCTGTGTGTCCACCCTCCCGTTCTTCACCAAAAAAGAAGATGAGTGAACAATTGCACTTTAACTGTAAGTTTTTACTATTGCTTTCAACAAATAAAGTGCGTTATTTAGTTGAATATGCATTGAATATCCACTATTCAGTTATAATATAAGAAACAAGGTAGGGGAGAGGTTCAAGCTTAGGTTAAAGTAACTATAGCTTACTTTGGTCTTGAGTTGATTTTTCTGTTCCACTCCTCTGCATCACATGTTCCTGGAAAACCCATAGCTGGCTTCCATTTGATTCACAAGTGTCATTATTTTTATTTTGGTAGTCACTTCTTTATCTTTATCTGACCAAAGTACTAAACGCGATTAATTTAGTAGTGAATCGTGCAATCGTGCAATTAGTCCCGAAGGATGATCACCCCACCATTTGCAGATTCTTCTTAATAGCTTCAACGACTTTGTATTCTAATTTCTAAGCAGGTAAGAGGCAGCTTCGTTTTTCAAACTCAGGTTGCTGCCTATCTTCCCGTGTTCAATTTCCATCATGTTTCTTGCTTTAGTGTCTTCTAATTGGTTAATTCTTTCTTTTTCTGTTTAACGCGGTTTTTCTTTTTGATAAATACTGCACCGAAGAACATCAGCTTATGAATCTATAACTTCCTCTTCCTTCTTCCTTTCAAGATATTACAACTGGACTGTCCTATCCTATAAACCAGAAGCCGCCTTCCCCGACATTCTTAGGTTAAAAAGGAAGACTGAAAATGGCAGCAACTGTTGTCTCTTTTGTTTCAAATCATCTCGCAACCTTACTCCGAGAGGAGGGAAGCCTATTGGGAGGGCTTCGACAGGAGGTCCAACTCATCAAGGATGAGTTGGGGCATATGAAAGCTTTCCTCAAAGTGGCTGAAGCAAAAGAAGAAGAAGATCCCAGGCTCCAAGAATGGATCAAGCAAGTGCGCGAAGCTGCTTATGACATTGAAGATGTTCTCGATGAATTTGTACTTCGCTTTGCTGGCTACCGACATCATGGATTCCGTGGCTCTCTTCAGAAAATTCTCAAAGCCATTAAGAGCTTGCGAGCTCGTCATCAGGTTGCCAGTGAAATTCAAAGCATAAAGTCCAGGATCAAAAATATTTCAGAAGGACGTCAGAGATACCAAGTTGAATTTGGCATCGATGACCGTGTCACTGGATCTTCAACCATGAACGACTCATGGCGCTATAGCAGGGATGACGCACTTCTAGTGGAGGAAGCAAAATTGGTTGGCATTGACCAGCCCAAACAACATCTGATTTCTGAGCTCCTCGAGGGGGACGATCACCAGCTCAAAGTTATTTCAGTGGTGGGTATGGCTGGACTAGGGAAAACTACCCTAGTCAAAAAGGTCCATGAAGATCCAGATGTTAGACAGAATTTCCCAGTTCGTGCCTGGATAACCGTCTCTCAAACATGCGACTTTCCAAAGCTCCTGAGAGACTTGATTCGGCAATTATACGAGGAAGAGAAGGAACCAGTCCCACAATCGATCGAGTCCAAGACTACTGCTGAGCTGAAAAAAATTGTCAAAGGTTTTCTTCAAAAAG